ATGTGCTCTCTCTTCTGGAAAAAGCGCAAGCACTTTGCGGTGATTTCGGAAACAGTTTCGTGAAATTGGTGCAGGTATAGAACGTTTAACATTATGAATACTTAGCGGCCGGCTTCTCATGGTGCTTTTTGATATGTAGACAGGTGACCACAAGGATGCCATTAGTTCTTCAACCAGTTTTGCACACGCCGTCTCTCAACTTCTCCACAACGCAAAGGGTGTCACACGTCTTGCTTCTGACGATGATCAGATCGACGGGATCGTCCGTACTGTGAAGACCGGGGCTCTTGGTGGTCGGTTGTTCTTCGATCAGCTGAAGTCAGGCTCACTGAGCACGATTGAAACCTCGCGAAGACCGGAACATATCGTGGGTCTTTCACGCGAAACTCAGCACCAGCTTGGACGAATGTCCGCGCTGATAGAGCAGCTCGTCGTCACCAAACTTGATGACAAGAGCAATCTGGAGGACGAAGTAGAACGTCAGATGAAGAATGCTGCCGACGCCATTGAAGAGGCAGCAAAGAGGTTAGCGGCCCTTATGAACAAACCGCGACAAGGTGCCGATTTGGACGTGCATTCGGCTATCCTGGAGTCAGCTATGGCAATGATGAGTGCCATTGCGTTGCTTATACAGCGCGCAACAGAAACTCAGCAAGAGATCGTCGCACACGGACGCGGCTCAACTAGCACTGGGCAATTTTACAAAAAGAACAACAAATGGACCGAGGGACTGATATCAGCTGCGCAGGCCGTCGCAGCGGCAACCACAACACTGGTCGAGTGCGCCGACGGACTCATCTCTGGCACTCATTCATACGAACAACTCGTGGTGGCCGCACAGGAGGTCTCCGTGGCGACAACGCAACTCGTTGCGGCATCACGGGTGAAATCCATCCCCTTCTCGAAAACGCAGATCAAACTCGAAGACGCTGCCGTTGCTGTGCGAAAGGCCACCGACCTTTTGGTCAAAGCGGCCAAAGAGGCGGCAAAACGTAATGCGGAATCCAAGGCCCAGGATGACATTGGGCGACTCAATCGGCATCAATTGAAAGTGGCCGAAATGGAACAGAAGGTTAAGATTTTGGAGATCGAGAAGGAGTTGCAGACTGCTCGGTATAGGTTGGGCGAGCTTGTCAAGAAGGGATATAGACCTGAGGATGATGAATAGGCATGACCATAATCGACATTTGATGTCAAAATGTGGGAGTAGCTTGAGCACTTTTTTTGTATTTGAAAGGAAACCGGAAAGTTTTATGCTAGTGATACGTAATAAAACAGCATATCCGCACCCTGGGTCTGTGTGCGTCCATTTCCGATGTCGGTCAGGTGTATCCTGGTTAACCTTGATGGGTATATTGGGTTCAAAAGCTGTCTCGTCTATACACACTATATATAAATGCGAGCAGCATGAAGTCTAGCGCTGAAGCGCATTCTTCCAACGGTGCTCTCGCCGCGATCTTCACAAAAATGGCTGCGTATCTGAAGTCAGCGAGGTGACGGGTAATCGCATCATCATAGAAAGCTCTTACATTGCGATCGGGCTGCTTGAATACATTCGCACCATATCCACAATTCAAAGCAGAAATAATCTGCAAACTATCAGGAGAAGCAGCTAGATCATCCCCGGTAATTAGCGACAGAGGTGCTGGTCGCATCAGTTGTCCCCTTCTGGACGGCACGTCAATCGGAATGGCGGCACATTTACGTGCGCCTGATGGAGACGGAGTCCGCATCGGCATAGTAGCTGAAGCTGGGCGGGTGGGTATTTGCGCGTCGTCAAAGGTGGGAAATAGCTTTGTCGGACTGCGGGTCACCGTTATGATTGGGGCTGTCGCAGATCGTGTGTATCGTCGTCTTGGACGCGTTGGGGATGGTTCACATACCGTCTCCTCGTCGTCGTATTCTTCATCATCTGATGATTGTGGGGGAGATGAAAGCTCGACATCTGATTTCCGAGATCGGAATGATCGATGATATTGTGAAGAACGGTTCACATCAATAGGCTTCTTGAATTGCCACGATGAGAGGGAATTTGTAGACCTCTTGAACGAAGAGAGATCCCGTTCTGATGAGGGCCCTTTTATGGCCGGAGAGCAGGTGATGTCGTTACTCTTGCGCTTGGTTCGAAGAACGTTGGGTTTGGTAATGGAGAAACCGATCTTGACGGTACGGGATTCGGCTTGGACGGATCGATCGGGCTTTGCTGGTAAGCTCTGAGACACGTCCAATGGCGTCCCTGATGGTGCTTTGGTAAAATACTTTTGACAATGTATAACTCTTAATGAGATGTGCTTCAACGAGATTTGATCCTGGTAACGCCTTTGATCTTACATTGGTAATCTTATTGCTATTTTCGTCAATTTTCAGAACCTTGCGCTTAGTTTGCCGCTCCTTGTTATTCACTCCACCGAAAGATCTGGTCGTGGGTGCAGTAAGAGAGTTATGTATAGTAGGTGGTCTACAAGGCACGTGGGTTGCATCCTCTTCCATTGCCCAGATGCCTTCTTCTTCGCGTTCCGTAATGGTCGACTGGGACAACCTGTATGCGACATTTTCTAGTACAGGATCCAGTGGGGAACGGCATGCTCCAGAAATGCCTGAGCGATCTGGCGAAGATACATTGGAAGAGTTCCTGCTTGGCGGGTCGCTGTCACTAGAGATAGAGCACGTGCTGTCTTTGCGGGTTAGGAATGATGGTCGCTTGAACAGTTCCGGTCTTGAAAAGAATGCTTCCACTTGAAGTGGTGGAAGGCTTTCCGCGGCTTTGGTAGAAAGTTCAGGTGGTCTTGGGGAGTCGATGTCCATCGCGTTCAGCGCGTTCATCTTGAGCGATGGGAGAACGGACGTGACAGGCTTTGGACGTATAAGGTCAGGCTGAGATGGGAGAGTAACCTGAAAACTTCGAACAAGGCAAAAAGCCTAGTGCCAGAAACGTTTTGGTACCCCTTCCCAAGCAGGTCGCAACCTAACACTCGGACACACCCCAAGAACTGTATTACCAAACCTCTAAGCAATGGGTAATAACAGTTCAAGTAGAAGGAAGGGTAGCCAAAAAACGCCGAGTATGCAACAGAAATAGAATTTCTTGCGACTACCGTGCAGGATGGATGAGCGGAGAATGGAAGGATGGAAGCAAATTGTAACAGGTTGTCAGTACTTGCAATTTTGGGCAGAATCTCGAGGTGGTTACTGTCATTTCAATGTCCGCCTTTCGGACAAACCGCGTTCGTTTTGCATCGAATGCAGCAATTTCCTATGTATAGAAATCCAATGAACCGGACTTTATCACGGTTTTAGGTTGAAATGGTTTGAATGGAATCCAACAGATTCATTCAAATCTGACTGTTCCTTGCTGACCAAGCTTCACACGCGAGAGTTCCGTTGCGAGCACTTCGACTGGCGTCTCGCCATCGTGCGCTAGATTGCAGACATATACAACTCCAATTCATCTCGTCATCTCACCACTTTCAGAAAGCATAACGATGCGAGACTCCCTACCGAGCCAACTATCGACATATCTGCAAACACAGCTGGACAAAACAGCCAAACATGTATTTCCATCATATCGGAATCTAGAGGCAGCGGGGGCCCACCGCAGAACGCCTATTGGTACTGCGACAACCATGTGTCTGCTTTTACATGATGTATTTAATTCTACCACGTCAGATGGACCGATATCATCAAATCTTCCCTTACAAGTACTTTTGTATTTTAACCTTTGGATGTTCCCATTTTGGGCAATTGGTATGGTGATCACCGTACACTGGAAGGTAGATAGCGGTGCTATGATCCTGTCATATAAGCTGCTAATGGTTTGTGCCACCCTTCTGTACCTTCGCCTAGATGAAATCGTTCATGTTGCGTAGCTTCCATCGCTTTATGATCGGTTTCCTCCTCGCCGTATTCATCCCTGTCGAGATTGCACGACTTTGGCTGGGATATTCAGGGAATCTCCGCGAAAGGGTAAAGACCGCGAGCAGAACCGGTGGTCATTCAAGTCATTCAGTCGCTCGTTCAGACGTTTAAACAATTCCTAGGTTCCCGAGCTGGCTGGCTGCTTTCTGTTCACACTGTTCCCCCAAGTGCTGGTAGCTGCCTATTACACCGCCTTACAACCCTTTACGGGTAGTGGGTTCGCTACGCCCTTTGAAATGGGCCTAAATATTGTGTACCTCCTCTTCTTGATTCCGGAGGCTGTATTCGCCTATAGGGCTGCTCAAAATATTGTCCAATCACAATCGGCACGTTTCTTCCTTACGGCACCAGTTAGGGACGATTATGGGCAAAATGTTGACGATAGGGCGAGTGTTGATAGTGATATGACCGTTGCCGGTGGTGGGAGCGGGCGATCACGGCGACTGGCCATGGAAGCAACGCACCGCGGCTGAGAACGTCCGCGACGCGAAGAGATCAGAGTAACCAAGAAATTTTGGCTGTCATTCTGGCACAGATAGTACAGAATTTGAATCGTAAGTATTTTTTTGTAGCTAGCTACTTAATACATGTATGCCGTTCTCTCTCCCCAATTTTATGCGGTATGGTTACGCGATTGTCCCAGACCAAACTGTGTGCTGTGAGATATATAGCCTTTTTAAAGTTTTCCGGTGGAGCCCAGCTCGTCGAACGCTTGCTTAACACGTGCAATCATGGTCTTTTCCGCCTCCCGAATGAAGACGCGGGGATCGTAATACTTCTTGTTAGGCTTGTCGTCACCTTCGGGGTTTCCGATTTGAGTCTGAAGGTATGCCTTCTTAGACTCGTAGAACTTGCGCAAGCCATCCCAGTACGCCCATTGGGTGTCGGTATCAATGTTCATCTATAAAACGATGACAAAGCTCAGATGAGTCACATCGCACAAACCTTTACAGCAGCTTCAGCTCAAACGCACCTTTACAACACCGTTGCCGACGGCGGTCTTGATTTCTTGGGCAGTGGAGCCTGATCCACCGTGGAAGACGAAGAAGACAGGTTTGTCGTTCTTCGCACCAAGCTTCTCCTTCACGAAGGCCTGGTGTTTGCCCAACAGCTCGGGGTGCAACTTAACGTTTCCGGGCTTGTATACTCCGTGTACGTTACCAAAGGCAGCAGCAATGGTGAACAGATCTGTGATCTCACTGAATTCACGGTAGATGTCCCAGATGTCCTCGGGCTGCGTGTACAAGGAGGCGTTGTCGACACCCTCGTTGTTTACACCGTCCTCCTCACCACCAGTAATACCAATCTCCATCTCTAGGAGGCATCCAATAGCTGCCATACGCTTCAAATACTTTTTGCAGATTTCAATGTTCTCGGCCTTGGACTCTTCACTGAGGTCAAGCATGTGAGAGGAGAAAAGAGGCTCGCCGTGCTGCTTGAAGTAAGCTTCATCGGCTTCGAGCATGCCATCGAACCATGGAAGGAGCTTCTTGGCACAGTGGTCACTGTGGACTGGACACGTGCCACAACATTAATCACACTAATACACAAACGTAGACTGATATTCTTCCTGTACGCGCCGATAAACTCACCCAGCACAGGGATACCATACGCCTTTGCGACGGCACGGACGTAGTGGGCACCAGCAACTGAACCGATTACCGACGCTTCCTGTTTCTTGTTGTCAAGACCCTTTCCGCCAAAGAAGGCGCCACCACCGTTGGAGAACTGAATAATGACAGGGGACTTGGCATCACGAGCGGCCTCAAGAGCGGCATTAACTGTAGATGTGGATGTGCAGTTGACAGCAGGAATGGCAAAGTTGTGCTCGCGTGCATAGTTGAACACCTTTCTGTGAAAGCCACGCCCATCCTGGTGATTAGATGGTCTGATAGATGATACGAACGTGCCTGGACAGTCATTACCTGACGTTGTCACCAGTGACAACACCAGCAGGGACGATGGAAAGGAGTCCGGATGACATTATTTTTGCTAGTGAGGAGGTTGCAGATGGAGATGGCGATGGAAGTGTGGGGACAATCGATTTTGTTGTGCTCGGTAAAAGCCGGTCTGCGCAAATCACGTGAAATGCACTTGAATGCCACTCGAGTGTGATGCGGCTTATATGCACGTGCCCCAATTAACCGATCCGGCTTACCAAAGACCAGTTGGTAATCCCCGGAAGGCAGGATATCTCCCCATTAGTCACCCAGCCATTCCGCGCTTTCGCGCCATAATTTGTATGATCGCCTTATAAAAAGGAGCCATGACCGTCCCCGGCACCTCGATATCAGCAGCCTTCAACTTCCATCGCTTTCGCATCAAAAGCATCTTTACCAGCCGGATTTCCCACTACAACTACGTTATTCCCTTAAAATGTCAAAGCCTACCGTTTACGTCGTCATTTACAGTACCTGGGGTCACATTAAGACACTAGCGGATTCCGTTGTCAAGGGACTCCGAGAGGGCGGTGTCAATGCGGAACTTTATCAAGTCGCGGAAACTCTTCCTCAAGAGGTTCTGGACAAGATGCATGCCGTGAAATTTGATATTCCTGTTTTGAGCCCGAAAGATTTGGTGAAAGCTGACGCATTCATCTTTGGAATCCCGTATGTCATTTCTGGCGCGTATGGTGTTTCGATTATTTGTATATTGATCTGTATGGTATTAGAACGCGATATGGTGTCCCAGCGGCTCAAGTTAAGGCTTTCTGGGACGCAACAGGCGGACTGTGGGCAGAAGGGGCCCTCGTCGGCAAATACGCCGGCGTGTTTACTTCAACTGCCTCTCAGCACGGTGGTCAGGAAACCACCGCCATGACCTTCCTGCCACATCTGGTTCACCATGGGATCATCTTCGTTCCTCTGGGTAAGCACTGCACGTGACTTCATTTAATCTGGAAACCCCTATTGACAAGGATGTCACATATAGGTTATCAAAGCAAGGTCCTCTTTGACAACTCGGAGGTTGTTGGAGGATCTCCATGGGGTGCTGGTACGGTTGCCAACGGTGACGGATCTCGCCAGCCTACCGGAAAGGAGCTCGAAATTGCGGAAACCCAGGGCAAGACCTTCGCTGGTACCATTCTCAAAGTCCACAAGCCATAAATCCGGATTGAGGTTGTCTGGAGTAACGAATTGTGGATGGACATCATACAAATATTTACGAAATATGAATAAATGTATCACATGTACCCATTTTGTATTGAATCAGTGTTGATTTGAAAACAATAAATATGTCAATGTTCAAAATCTCCACCTAAAACTATTTCGCTATATATCTACATGCCAGTGTTCTACACGCTTACTCTTGACTGCGTCCTCTCTAAGATTGACAAAACTTGTTCGTAAACGGTGAAAACAATACCACCCGAAAACTGCAAAGTAAAGTTCATTAGCAAAGTTCCATCTCTCCAAACGGACAATCATGACATACAATCAAGCGTCCCAAACGCGGCGTCGCTCCCTTCCATAAGGCGCGAATTCCTTCCTCCGTTACAATTCGGTACAGGCAATGCAAAGAATTTTTATATAGCTCCTTGGCATTAAGTGCCTGCATGCGTGTTTTCATGACATCTAGAGGCATCGTGCTATACACGGTGACAATGCCCGCAAAGGCACCTACAGGGAGGTTGGCAATTTATTGGTCTTACTGGTCACGAGTGAAGTATCTAGATGTCTAAAATTATGCGAGCATTCTTACCGTTTGCGAAGTTAACATACCACGGCACGACTCGCTTGTTCGTGATTGGGTCGAGTGGGTAGCGGTCCTGGACCTTTTCCTTCAGCATGCCGTATGTACTGAGTCGGACAGCAGAGTTTGCACCCTGCCGAGCCACAACCGCCGTCATGCCACGGTAAATGCCGCCGATACCTTCGCTGCGAATAATCTCTCGTGTTCCTGTGGAGTTTCGATTTAGCTTTGGTGCTGCCAAAATACTATCATGTCGTTTTTACCGTGTATCAATCCTCGATATTTAGGGTTTGGTTGATTCTGGTCATGAATGAGCTTTGTCCTATAGTAACAGTGATGTCATGTCACAAAGGAGTGCACCAGCATCTGTTCAACAATAACTTCCATACTTGATCGTCTCGGTTGGTGTCACCGCTATTACCGCTTCCGTCACACCCGCCCCCAAGCCAGCTACGTATGAAAAAAAGACATAGATCACAAAACTGGTGAGAGATCTGTGACCATCTCATCGTCCGCACCTAGCATCATCCTCTGTCCTGCGACCTTTCCGTTTTCATCCGCGAGCATCTTCTTGAATTGCTCAAACGACAAGAATCGGATGCCTGCCTTACTGGCTGTCCCAATAACAAGTGCTGACAGGCCGCGATACAGACCAAAGAAACCCCGCTCTCGAACTGTCTTCACCACACAATCCCATGGTCCATCAAAAGCCTGAAGTGGTATAGTCGTCAAATTAGTATTGATTATCCAGATACCTACAAAATATTATGGCTACCTTCACTGCCGTTTTACTTTGAAGTTGAAGTTGCGTTTTGACATATTCCGTCGGATAAGTTATCGTAGCCTCTACTGCTCCCGCAATGGTCCCGGCGGCCAATGAATGGGATGGAGGCACTTTCTGTTCAAAATGCAAGTTACTCTAGCCATCAAGACTAAATTATATTGTTGATTGGGTTGAAATGTTAACTCACATTTTGCTTCTTATCCGCCATCTGCAGAATTCTGGGACCTGTTCGAGACTGGGCATCAGAGTCTTCCGATCTCCTCATCAATCTGACATCACGTGGACTCAATGATGAAGCCACATTGAATTGCGCATCAGGACAAGCATGAAAGTTGCAAGGACTTGCACATATACTATTGATCGGCATTTATGGTGCGGCTGGAAACAGTACAGAAGCATCATATTATATCATATTATTGCAAACAGAAGCTTGGTGCACATCTGAAAGCCTCAGAAAAGGATTGCTTGCGTTGTTACTTACGAAAGAATGTGCAGACAACCACAGCAATCCCCCGTAGTACCGCTCCCTTCCAGATGCTTTAGGGTCCGCAAGGCGGAGGGAAGGGACTCTACTTGAATGTACGTTGACGTTGCAACTACCGTACTCGATTTGACAACTCCAACTGTCGGAGTCATCATCACGCAGGTAATGCGGCACAGTCACGTAGACTGCGCACATTTGATATCATACTTGAAAACTGTCGGCTCTCTGCTAGTTCCGTACTTCACCTTCACTTTCACTGAACTTTATACCACCACAGAGATGAAGCAGCGTTTTTCAGCGCTGGACGTGTCAGCCCAGGTCGCTGAATTACGGCTCAGGCTGGTGGGACTTCGACTGCAAAATGGTAGGGACATCAGGCCAACATGTTGTGATCTAGAGACGTAGCTGATCTCTTCCGTTGCTGCGGTTAGTTTACGATATAAACCAACGAACATACCTATTCAAATTCTCACGGCCCGACCATAAGGAGATTATTCTCATTGAATCTGGAATTCGCATGCATTCCACGGAATTTACCCGTGAGAAGTCAAACACCCCCTCACACTTTGCCATGAAGCTGCGCAAGCACCTACGGACACGACGACTGAATGCCCTTGATCAGCTTGGAGCAGACAGGGTGGTGGATATGAGGTTTGGAGAGGGAGAGACAGCATACCATGTTATAGTCGAGTTCTACGCGTCCGGCAACATCATACTGACGGATCACGAATACAAGATACTCGCATTGCTGCGAGTTGTCGAGCTGGACGCACCCAGCACTGCAGCATCAGGTGCAGTACAACAATCTGGACAAAAGTCGACGGACGACACTGAAACGAGGTTCGCTGTCGGAGAGGGTTACGACGTGTCAAGGGCGCGGCCGTTCGAAGATATTACGCTTCAGAAGATTCGATCCATTCTCGAAAATGCTATAGCCGAAGTAGGAAATGTATCAGAATCCACATCCGTTACGGAGGCCGACGGCAGAGGGGCGAAGACAGGAAAGAAAAAGACCTCAGCGAAATGGGGAGGAAAGGATAAGAAGAAAGGAAAAGACGCATCGCTCCGAAAAGTGATTCGAGAAAAGCTAGGTCCGGATTATGGCCCAGCTTTAGTGAGCACTGCCTTCGATTCCGGACTGGATGTAACATGAAGGTGGATTCAACTTGGACCTAAATGAGGACTCGCCTATATAACAAAGCTGTTAG